GCTGGCCTCAGGCACAGTCCACGTGTGGTCTCTTTTCAAGTCCGCAAACACATGAGATGCACTGTCAGAGCCCCTGAGAGAAGGTGAGTAACCTACAAAAGGGGACAGTGGGTGCGTGTTGAGCCCTAGAACCCAGGAATTCAGACCCCTTTTCCACACAGCCCTGCCTGGGCACTAGCTCCCCAGAGGGCGTGAGCGAGATGCAGGGTGGGCTGTGGCCCTGGACTGTGACTCTGCCTCTGGAACAAGCGCGTGCAAGCCTCCCCTTCCTGGTCCAAGGCCCCTGAATGGTGGGCAGCAGACCCTTGTCTCTGCATCCCTCTCCTGGCCTGCTCAAGCTGCTATGCTAGCATCTTCTCCAGGCTGTACTGGCCCTGCTCAGGTGCCACCTGCACCCCTGGTGCTGGGACGGTGGGTTCACGTGTCCTCCCCACGCAGGAAGGTGCCGCTGGGAGGTGGAGACTGTGATTAGCTGGATGCAGTAATCACCTCCAGGGCACACATGCTTGGGTTTGTAAGGTTTATTTGTCAGTTACCCTGGGTCAGGCTGGGGGAAGAGGAACAAGCAGGGGTGGGTGGGGGGTATGCACATCTCAGGGTACGAGTCAGACATGGTGTCCTTGTCTGCACTAAGGAAACAGGAGCAGGGAAGCCATCAGAAGGCGCAGCAGGTCACCACTCAGAGTCCATGCTGAGCTCACTCAGCCCAGGGCGGGACTCTCGCAGAACTAGAGTGGAAACAAAGCTGGTGGGAGGCCCAGGCCGCTAGACCATGGCGTGGCTGGTCCTTCAGGGCGCAAAATAAAATGACAGTCCCCACTTAGGAAAGGAAGAAATAAAAGGTGTGTGGCTCGCAGAGGACACGGGTGCCAGCCAGCCTGCATCACCCTCCTCCCCGCCCCTCCTGCCCTGCCGGGGCCAGCTCATCACTTCACCTCTGCTCTCACTCAGACACCCAGGGAGGTTTTGCTTATTTTTAAAGATTACTCGATCTTCCATGAGCCTGCCCTGCCAGCCCCAAGAGAAAGTTCTAGGGTACAGAAGAGCCCTGGACTTGATGGGGCCATAGGAAACTGCCAGGCTGTGCCTCAGACTCCCTGAAATTCTCATCCCACGCAAGTGACAGTTCATATCCCTCTGTCAGCACCCCCACACCCATCACCCTGTGCCACCTCCTGCCTTGGCTTTTGTGAGTGTGACTGAGACCCCACGTGTGAGACTGTGCGGACGTGCCTCTCGGTGGTGGTCTGTTTCACTCAGCACCATGTCCTCCCTCTGTTGTTGCAAAAGACGGGGCTCCCTTCTCTGCTGAGGCTGCACACGGTCCTCCATGTGTGCCCCATGTCTCCCCGCTGTTGTTGATGGGCGCCTGGTTGATCTGTGTCTTGGCTGCTGAGATTAGTGCCACAGACAGGGTGGAGGTGTGGCCATCTGCAAGGACACTCACGCCGTTTCCTTGGTAAATCCCAGAAGCGCCATTGCTGGATCAATGGTTCTAGTTTTAATTTTTGAGCACCTTTCATACTGTTCTTCATAAGGCTGCACATAAAGGTTTATTTTCCTTTTAATGTAGTTTTGTATTAAGCAGGTAGCATTTTATTTAGAATCTCTTGCTTTATAGTTTTAAAGGAGATTGATCTACATCAGTGTCTCTTTCCGACACACACACACACACACACACACACACGCACACAGCTGCTGTCCGTGTGGGCAGCAGGCGGTCACCAGTCTCCTAGGCAGCCCCAGAGGCCTCTGGCTCACTCTGTGTTTTCATCGTCACAAGAGGGTCTTGGCATCCAAGGCTGGTGGCAGACACCTTCAGCCATCGGAGTCTGTGCCTTTTTGAAGAATCAGATCTTTAAGTATTTTTTCAATGTTTTCTTGGATATCATTGTATTAAAGTTTTCATTTTGTTAGTTAGGCAATTAACACTTTAGAATATGGTACATTTCATTGACATTTTCAAATTTTAGGATAAATATACCCATATTACTTTCTTGTACTTAGAAACAAAAACTTCTAAATCTATGAGCATATTTATTTTTCATTTTTAATGTGTTTATTTTTGTTAGATTTTCTAGAGCTTTAAAAACCTTGTTGATAGGGCTGGGCGCAGTGGCTTATGCCAGCATTCTGGGAGGCCATGGTGGGTGGATTGCCTGAGCTCACAGGTTTGAGGCCAGCCTGAGCTACAGCGAGACCTCGTCTCTAAAACTAGCCAGGCATTGTGGCAGGTGCCTATAGTCCCAGCTACTTGGGAGGCTGAGGCAGAGATTCACTTGAGCCTAAGAGTTTGAGGTTGTGGTGAGCTATGAAACCATGGAACTCTACCAGGGTGACAAAGTGAGACTGTCTCAAAAAAACCCCATAAATCCAAAAACCTTATTGATACAAAAGACTTTAAAAGTCTTTGTTTCACATTTCATTAGGGTTTTTTTTTTTTTT